CTTTCCCAACCTGTGTGCCCTGCAGAGGGAGCAGGAATGCAGGGATGTTATCTTCACCTGAGCTCTGACTGGAGCCTCAGGGCTGATCACTGTTGAACATCTCTCCAGTTTACCCCAGGGTGCTGTAGAAATATTTTCTTTTTTGTGTGTGTGAGTTATAATGTAGAAAAAAGGATAGCTTCAGAGTCTGGTAATCGTGCTTCTAGCACTCAACCTTTCAAAGCCCACATGAAACTCAGGAATGAATGAAGAAACTGGAAGACTAGAATACTGAAGCCAACTCGGCTACCCAGCATCACTGCCAGCACTTTGCTAAGCAGAGAGGGTATGCCATGGAGGGAAGGAGAGTGGTGCAGATTGTCCAGTCTGGCTGCCCGAATAGATTCTAGTGCCCGGTGGGTTGATAACAGAATTGTTCATTCTGGTTCTAATCCTCCTCCAACTCAACCCAACAGATAAACACACATGTGTACACACACACGTACACACCCCACCCCACCCCCGAAGTGGGACTGTAAAGAGTTTCTCACCTTCCGCACTATTGGCATCTTGGGCTGCATGATTGTTGTGGGGAACTGTCCTATGCATTGTTGGATGTTTGTGAACAACCCTGGCCTCTACCCACTAGATGGCAGTAGCACTGTTCTCCCTGTCTTCCCATCCCCAGTTGTTACAAAGATGTCTCTAGGCATTGCCAGATGTTCCCTGGAAAGCCAAATTGCACCAGCTGAGAAGAACACTGTTATAAATTAATGAACCTCAGTTTTCTTACCAACACATGCACAGGCTCACTCCTTAGTTGCCACACAGCTCTGATTACAAAGACCAAAAGCAAAACTGAAGGGGGAAAGGGTCCCAGGCTTTGCTAGTGGGAGCTGGATGCTTTCTTTTCTAAATGTGTACCTTGTACCTTGTCTTAATGGTGTTCTGAAGTTTTTAACTTCCAAAGAGATTGAATGATCCATGATAAGAGGCAAAAATGAAAAGTATTTTGACTTTTCAAGAATAAAATTTTGTACCTTAAATACAAGCCATTGAAATGATGTGTATTTGTATAAATGAGACAGTTTAGGTTTCTCCACTGAGAATTTACCACTTCGGTTGGCAGTTCCTGTACCTCATCCTCTTTTCGCTGCCTGCTATTGGCAGGAAAGAGGAAGCACATGGTAAAAAGAGGAGAAGCTTCTGGACAGAGCATTGTCTCTCAGTATGAAAGCTCACCACACTGAGAGCCTGCAGCACTGCAGGTATGTCCTTCCAATGTGGCTCGGAGGCCTTGGCTTCAGCCCCAACTCCAAAAACTGGGCTGAAAGAAGTCAAATTTGTATCGGAGGAGTATCAGGACAAGACCCAAGCACCACAAAAACATTAGTCCTCAGAGAAACCAACTAAGTGAACTGACGCAGAATACAAAATGAGAAAGAAGACTATCCAAAGTGTTCCAAAAAACTACAGCATTCCAAAAAAGAAAGATCAAAAGGTTACTGCTGATAAATAGGACATGCTTCTAGCTCAGTATCGCAGTATCGCTCAGCAGAATGCCGCTTGTTACGCTCATAACCTTTGCTTTGGATCTAGAATATGAAGTTAGGTCCTCAAAAATAAGTTCTTTTTTAAAAAATTTACCCTTTTATTTTTTTTTTAAAGATTTTATTTATCTTTAGAGGGAAGGGAAGGAGAGAGGGACAGAAACATCAATGTATGGTTGCCTCTCATATGTCCTCTGCTGGGAACTGGCCCGCAACCCAGGCATGTGCCCTGACCGGGAATCAAACCATGATTGTTTGGTTCACAGGCCCACGCTCAATCCACTGAGCTAGCTACACCAGCCAGGGCAAAAATAAGTTCTTTTTTACAAAATGTTTTAAATAGTATTTGGCTGAACATTTTAATGCCTTATGTATAGAGAACAGTTTTTCTTATTAATACTAATATAAAAAAGTGTTTATATGATGATTGCAGAGGCTTCTAGTGACAAATCATTGAAGGGTAGTGCTACTACTATGAATTTTATACAATGTGATAATCCACGTACGGGGTCCTGAAATCAAGCAGACAAATTCCCCTCTGCCACTCTTCAGCTGCATACCTAGGACCTGCTCCCTAACCTCTTCTAGCCTTAGTTTCCTCATCTATAAATAGAAAGGCCAAAGTACGTACGGTTGGTGTAAAGAATAAAATAAAATGATGCATCATAAGGTGCCTGGCACAAAAATAGTAGCTATTTTTTAAACTGTATACGTGCATTATACACAAAGGACTACTTCTCAAGTGTGTACCTTAAACAGTGACACCAGTAATTTCACAGTGCTACCATTTTGCTTACCAGCAGGATAACTGGTGTTGAAATTGTAGACAATTGTTTTCAAACCTTGTCATCTCTGAAAAGAAATAACAATCAACATTTCAGAAAAAAAAGAAATGTTGCCCCCACTTTTAATTTGTGAAATTCAAGTGACAGTAGTCAGCTGAAATACATACTTTCTTTCTATGCAGGAAATTTGATGTGACAGATTTATGTCACATCATAAGTAGAACATAAATATTTTTGCATATTCCATAGTTAAGCCAAACCTGCCTTTATTACTGAAGGAATTCCAGTGGGCCAGTAAGGATACGGCAGGTAACAGAACTTTCCATGGCTGTAACACTTAAAAGCACCTTGGGTCTCTTGGAGGAAAAATATTGTAATATGCACGGAAGCTGTTGTCATCTTGAGTAACCCAAGCCAAGACTCTTCCAGTTATCCCCAGTTAAGGGAAGGTATAATGTTAGAATTAAAGGGGTGTTGTTTTTCTCCACTGAATCTTCATGTCCAGGTGTTTATAAAGCTTGAATTTTATGGTCTTGAAAAAAATATTTTGGCCCTGGCTGGCGTAGCTCAGTGGATTGAGTACAGGCCTGCGAACCAGAGTATCGAGGTTCAATTCCCAGTCAGGGCACATGCCTGGGTTGCAGGCCCTGGGATGTATGAGAGGCAACCATACATTGATATTTCTCTCCCACTCTTTCTCCTTCCCTTCCCCTCTCTCGAAAAATAAATAAATTAAATATTTTTTTAAAAAAATATATTTTAGCATAGCAAAATATACTTAACATAAATTTACCATCTTAACCATTTTCAAGTGTATTAAGTCAGTGGCATTAAGTATGTTCACACTGTGCTCCGTTACCACCATCCAAGTCCATCCCTATTAAACACAAACTCTCAGTCTCTCTCCACCTAGTCCCTTACAACCACCATTCTGCTTTCCATCTTTATGATTTGTCTCCCCTGGGGACCTCATATAAGTGGAATCAGCCAGTATTTGTCCATTTGTGATTGGTTTATCCACTGAGCATAATGTTTCCAAGTTTCAGAATTTCCTTTTTAAGGCAAAGCAATAGTCTATTATGTGTATACACATTTTATTTATACTTTCATTCATTGATGGACAATTGAGTTGCTTCCACTTTTTGGCTATTGTGAATAATGCTGTAAATTGGGTGTATCAATATTAATTTGAGACCCTGATTTCCATTCTTTGGAACATATATGCAAAAATGGAATTGTCAGGTAGTTCCATGATTAATTTTTTGACAAATGGATATACTAATTTCCACAGCCACTGCACCACTTTACATTCCCAACAATGCTTATTGATTTTAGTGAAAAGGTAAGGGAGGGAGAGAGAGGGGAAGAGAAACATGGAGGAGAGAAACATCTATTGGTTGCCTCTCATTGGCACCCCACCAGCACATGCACCTAGGCATGTGCCTAGACTGAGAGAGACCTTTCTTCCCTTTGTGGGGAGACTGTCCCAACCAACTGAGTGACACCAACCAGGGCTGGTTGTTGTTTGTTTGTTTTTTAATAGCCATTCTAATGAGTGCAAGGTGATATGTGTGGAGAGCAGGATCAATAAAATGGCATTGGTCTGGTCAAGATAGCATACACTACATAAAGTCGAGTCGCTCATGTCAACCCAAATGGCTGTCAGCCAGCCCAGACACTTTGATTCAAGAGGGAAACTACCAAAGACAGAGCAGACATGTCTGGCAAAGAGACATGCCTAAGCTATCTGCACCTGTGGTCAGAATAGCCATGTCTGTAGAGCGTGACCACCCATAGATGGGCTCCTGGGGAAATTCCACATCTGGCATCAGGGGTGCTAGGACGTTTATGAAAAAGACCCAGAAGGGTGGAGTACACCACTTTGAAGGTACAACTGAGGCAGGCTCCAGACCACTGCTGAGACAGCTGAGCTCCACACTCCAGAGTGCTACTCCATGCCATGCTGATCTCCCTTGGCACTGGCTGCCCGAGGCTCTGCCCTGCTAGACTGGGATATCTGTCCTGCTACGCATCTGGCTCTGACGATCATTCCTTGCAAGACGCTGGCAACTCCCTTGCCCACTGTGCTGTCTCCAGGGCCTGCACACGAGACTCTGGGACTCTGGTTCATTATCCTCCATTGGTTGTGTGTGTGTGTTACATTTCTCTTAGATTGTTAGAGTGTGAGTAGGAATTAATGTGTGTTGAAGTTATACTTTGAGTGAACCTGCATTCGACAAAAGTGAGTGAATAGCGTAGTTACTGGGTGTGACTCCTGTCTATTCCTTGGTGCCGGGCTGCTCAGCTAGCTGAGTAGTTGCCCAATGACTTACAGGAAAGGACTATATTGGGAACATATGCTCATGACAGTATGAAGAATAAAAATGTTTTAATTCTATCGTCTCTAGAAGCAAATACACTTCACCTCACCTTCACAGCCAGGAAGCGAGCACCCCAAGAGAATAAGATCTTTGCCTGGGGTACCGGAGAGACCGCAAACCCCTATTTGTCCGCAATCTGCGAGAATTTAGTGAGCTGCCAGATTGAGGCGGTGGAGGTAGGGAGCATTAAGGAAATGTCAGGCGGAGCAATGCAGGCCAAAGCTGCAAAAAGGAGGAGGAGCGGCCTAGCGCATGCGAGTTTCCTGCCTAGCTGGCGTCAGCTGTGGTTGCCCTGGGAGGCCCATAGGGGTCGACGCATGCGCTCCATGGGGTTGGTGCGACCTGGGACCATGGCGGTGGCGCTAGGTAGCCGAGGCGCGGTACGTCTGCGCCTCCTTTCGGCTTTGAAGTCGGGTATCTCCGTTCCTATGACCGGGACCCAGGCTTTTTTCGGGTAATGGCGCCCACTCCCCTGCGGGAGTTCCCGTGATTAGTTCAAGCGCTCGGGGCAGGGGGTGGGGGGCAGGGTTAGGGTGGAGAGGGCGTGACGGAGAGGGCGCGAGCTGACTGGAGGAGGGGTTGGGAGCAGGGAGGGGGTGCGGCGGAGCTGACCTCACCTCTGCGAGCCCTGCCTTAGCACTGGAGCGGTGCAGCACCTTCAGTTCTGGAACTCTGGAGCCTTTAAGGATCCCGTGTTAGAGTCCAGCTCCTCCATTAGGCAGACCAAAGATGAGACAGGTAGTAAGCCAGGACAAATGGAATAGGGAAACTGAGACAGATAGTTAAACAGCCGAGCAGTTTACAGCCGGCTAGTAAATCACAAATCTTCTGTAGCCAAGGACACTTAAAATTAATGATTTACAGTTCTCCCCAACCAGAGGATAAATAGCTTAAATCATTCTAGTCAGGGAAATACATAGTAGAAATCCAGCTGGTACCATTTGTGCCAGCCACACTCAAGGACAAACGAAGTTGAGGAAATAAATTTCATTTGGCTACATCAGCATAAAATTGATCAATATTCTGTTGAGATCCTTCCCAATGGCCTCCTCTAAACTCCCAGACTTTAAAAACCCTTAAAAAATAAAGAGTCTTAGCATGCCCTTCCTCCCTGGAGTACACCCTGCACCTTTCCCTTCTTCCCTCTCCTCTTCCCGCACAAGCACTCATTTTCTAAACCCTAAGGGACCACAGTGAGACTTGCAGCCTGGGGAGCAATGGGCGGCGGCAGCAGCAGCTCCTCCAGGGCTAACCCCATGAACAAGTGTCCAAGGCCCACTTTTCTCTGATTTTCTTGAGAGTCAAAGCCACTCAGTCTAGGCGCTCCTGTTACTTCAACCCTAAGCCCTTCCTTGTGTCAGTGTCCCCAGCTGTAATAAATGTACTCCCAAAATCACCTGGACTAGTGTTGTGAAACCTCTGCTGCTCAAAGTCAAGAACCCACACACTCAGGCTGGGCCTAGGCAGACTGCTCAGGGCCAGTTCCCTTTCCAGTAACAAAGGGACCCAGGGAGGAAACCTTGTTTGCTTAGTCACACACATACTCCTGACAGAGGTTACAACCTCAAACCCCTTACTCAGTCTGTTACTCTGTCCAGTCTCTCTTTTTTTTTTAAGATTTTATTTATTTATCTTTAGAGGGGAAGGGAAGGAGAGAGGGAGAGAAACATCAATGTATGGTTGTCCAGTCTCTTAAGAGGCAATAATTTCTCATGTTTCATTGATCAGAAACCAACCTGAGAATATCTGTGACCTGTTAGCTCTCAGAAACACAGTCCCAAGTTCTAGAGTCTTCTCTTTGCTGACCTCATGCAGGAGAATCACCTTGGGAACTGGGAAAATTCAAATTCCTGGGCCTGACTCCCAGGGATTCTGATGTTTATCTGTGTTGATGTTTCTCTTTCCTGACATCCTCCCCCCCACACACACACAAATTTTGAGATAGACCAATAACCAAAAAAAAAACACTTTGGTTAATCTCTGACTCACTGTCTTAAAAGTGAGTGTCCTGGGTCCCAAGAGATACTAGGCAGAAAATGTGGGTAGAGAAGCAAGAAGCTTGCTTTACTTTATTCCCTACAGACCTACCTACACACACACATGCACACACACACAGTGTATATGGGCAAGTTCCATGCATGACTAGGAAGAAAAGTCAAATGCTAGATAGGTACCTGGCGTTTAGAACTTCACTATATGTAATGTGGAAACTTCTCATTTGAAAACATTTTTGGAAGGAGAAAGGAAAAATCTGACTGGCTTTACATTTTTTTATGTTGTGATTGACTGGGAGCTTCACATTTGATTTAGGTTTTTAAAATTATTTTAGATATTTTAGAAGATTTTCAGGACTGTTTTGATACCGATAGAAAAATATGTCAATGTCTGCAGCAGTGTAAATTAACACTGGAAATGGTGACTAATCCAATTTACTGTTTGCAGAAGGGGATTGAAATAAAGTTGTGATTTTACCAATATCAAAGATATAATAGGTTATTTAATGGTTGTAGGAAGGAAGGGCAGTCCATTTGTTACAGGAAAATGAAGCAACCAGACACCAAGGGATTCTGGAGTACGAGGTTTATTAACGTGCACAGGCCCATGGGAGTCAGTCTCCAAATTCTGAGCCCCGAACAAAGGATTCTTGGGGTTTATATAGCCTACGGGGTCTTCCTGTCTACAGAGCAAAGCGAGATACAGAAGTGAAATGCGGTAATTAGTTCTATCTATGGGGCAGAACCAGAGTACAAAGGCTAAATGTGAAAATTAGTTCTATTAGCGGGGATGCTAGTCCTCGTCCTTGTGACTGTCCTGCTGTTTGCTTTTCCCACACGGCCTTATCGTTCTTACAGGGCGCCTGGGGTTTTGGGTGAACAAAGGTCTTCCAAAGCTTCCCACATCACATTAGTACTGCAAATCATTCTTCCTAAAACATCTCTGAAAAACAGGCTTTCTGGATTTTGAACTGCCATTTTATAAATGTGCTTGCAGATTATTATGACATGTAATCAGGGAAAACAAGCAGTGGTATTGGTTAATCCTGAAACAATGCTGCATATAAGTAGGCAAAAGCACTCCTGAAATAGCCAGTGCTTGACCTGCAATTGAGTTGTGTTCCAAAAACCTGTTTGTAAGTCTGTTTTTTGGAATGCTGGCTCTTTTCTTATTTTATAATCTATAAAGTGGTGTGTCCCAGGGTTAGATTAAAAAAGTTGTTTTATCTAGAATTATAGGTTACATACAGTTACAATATTAATAACTTACAGAACCTAAAAACCTGCCTGCAGAAAAATGTTTTCCAAATTCAAACTCAGGATGTTCTGCCAGAGAATCAGAGCCTCTCCTTCACCTGGCGCCTGCAACCACCATCTGTCTGGTGGTCAGGGTGCATGTGGCCCCACTGCTGGAGCCCTGTTAGGGACCCTATTCAGCTATGAGGTTATAAATAATGGCTTCCGGCATTCAGATAGCTCCATTGCCACTTCCTAACTCTGGTAACATAAGCGAGTTATTGGGTTGGCAAAAAAGTTCATCTGGTTTTTTCGGTAAGGTAGCTCTAGTAGCACTTAGTTGTCTCTAACTTCATTTAAAATGTTGTTAGATTGTATTGTGACAGCTGTCATGTCAGTGTGCATTTAAAAAGCCATCAAAATTAATGAGTTTTTGCATAGCCATTTAATATTGAAGATGGAAGAAAATAAGCAACATTTTGGCATATTATGCTTTATCATTTCAAGAAAGGTAAAAATGAAAAAAAAGATTTGTGCAGTGTATGAAGAAGGTGTTGTGACTGATCAAACTTGTCAAAAGTAGATTGTGAAGTTTCGTGCTAGAGATTTCTCACTGGAAAATAAAAATACCCCATGGTCGGGTAGACCAGTTGAAGTTGATAGTGATCAAATTGAGACATTAATTGAGAACAATCAACGTTCTACCATGCGGGAGCTAGCTGACAGGATCGAACTATCCAAATCATTAAAATTATTGGTGAAAATGAAAAGTGTGTCTTTTATTTTATGGAAAAAATAAATGGACTTTTTGGCCAACCCAAGATTTAACCTCTCTGAGCTGCCACACGCCTTGCAGAATTGTTCTGAGGGTTTGAGACAGGGAATGGAAAAGGCCTGGGACATGAGAATTAAGTGATTAGTAGGTGAAATTAGTAATGACAGAAATATGAATGTCTAAATAATAACACAATATATAAAAGATGTAAAAGTATGTTACCAGAATTCATGTAGGATGACCTTGGTAGCAGCAGCTCCAGCAATAGCCGGGACGGCAGCCACTGCAGTAGGACCTGCAACAGCCCAGAGGTTTTTCCTGAACTTCTCAGATGCTCTGATCAAAGAGGACCCCCAGGTGCCATCAGAGGAGCGGACTGAGGCTTTGGAACAGAAACCAGATGATGCACAATAGTATTGTCAAAGAGCTTATCGTCACATCTTTCTCAGGAATTACTGTGATGCTATTGCTGATGCAAAGAAATCTCTTGAACTTAATCCAAATAATCCCACTCTGGGGCTGAAAAAAGAGATATGTGAATACCCTGGGGGAAAAAAAGCTATGCTGCTGTAAACTTTTGCAGAAGGACAGAAATTAGATAGTGTGGATGCTGATTTTATTGTCTGGATTAAAAGGTGCCAAGAAGCTAACAGTGAGTCACAGTCCAAGGTGTCTGTGTCCCAGGGGCCCATCAGTCAAAAATCAAGTATGACTGCTGTCAAACAGAACCTGAAGTAATCATCACACATACAGTCAGGAATGTGCAGAAGAAAGATGCATTATAAAGGTAGCATTTTCAGAAAAAGAGTTGCCTGCGTTAGTGAAACTTCCTACTGGAGAGGATTGCAGTTTGAAATTGAGACTTTTTGAGTTCTGTAGTACCAGAACAGAGCATGTTTAAAGTACTTGCAACAAAATCGAAATTAAAATGAAAAGCTCGAGTCCACGAGATGGGGAAAGCTAGAGGGGCAGGGAGGCATGCCAGAGCTGGGACAGTTGAGAGCAGGTGTAAAGAGCTCATATCCATCATCACCTCATACAAGAACTTGGGATAAATGGGTTGGAGAGATCAAAGAAAAAGAAGAGAATGAGAAGTCAGAGGGAAATGCAGCTTTAAACAGATTATTTCAGCAGATCTATTCAGATGGCTCTGCTGAGGTGAAAGGTTCCATGAAAAATCATTCATGGCGTCTGGTGGGACAGTTTTGAGCACCAACCAGTCTGATGTAGGAAAAGGAAAGTTGAAATCAGTCCTTCTGATGACGTGCAATGGGAAAAATACTAAATTAATTGTCTATCACTGTATTGCATATATATATTCACTTAAATTTCATGTAAATCCATGTCCTATGGTAGCTTTATTGTAGCCAGTGGTTACTTTGGAAAAAAAAATAGCTACATATATAAGATAATAGGGAATATGTAGGAATTTCAAAGTGAAGCTGTATCCTATTAATAGCCCCCATTTTTATTTCTAAACAAAGTGTAAAAAAGTGTCAAAGGCTCTGGTGCCAGACAGATGCTCATCTTGACTTTGCATTTCACCAGCAGTGTGACGGGGCAAATTGCCTACAGCATCTAATTCTCAGGTTCCTCAGTGGTAGAATTTGGTGAATAGAATGTGCATCACATGGAAAAATGAATGAGATGATATAGCTGTTTGCAGAGGCTGCTATTTAGTTTAAAGATTAAACTCATTTTAATTATTTACACATTTTTACCTCCCCCCACAGTAAACTCTTCCTCTTTGAGGGGTATAGTTCAGCCCACTCAGTCAGGAACTGGTTGTCATTGTATTGCTCCTGACCTTCTTCTCTTTCACAAAATTATCCAGCCTCTCACAAAAAAAAAAAGCAGTCAGGACAAATATGAGGTAAGACAAAGCCTCTTTTACCTGAGCGTGCCTTTCTACAGGCTGTTTTTCAAAAGGGAGACAGGATTTTATTTTTCTCCAAGAAATTAACTCAATCCGGTAGTTCTTAACCTGGTTACTTATTACAATCTCTTGGAGATTTAAAAAAATACAAATACCTGTATCCCACCTCAGAGATGCTGATTTAGTGCAGCCTGGACATCTAGATTAAAATTTTCTGGAAAGAAAGGGGAAAAAAAACACTAAAAAATACTTAGTTATAATAATAAGTAAAATTTATTAGACACTTAAAAAAGTTTTGTCAGCCCTGGCTGGTGTAGCTCAGTGGATTGAGCGCGGGCCTGCGAACCACACGATTGCAGTTCGATTCCCAGTCAGGGCACATGCTTGGGTTGCAGACCTGTTCCCTGCAGGCCAGTTCCCAGCAGGGGATGCATGAAAGGCAACCATACATTGATGTTCTCCCTCTCTCCTTTTCCCCTTCCCCTCTAAAGATAAATAAATAAAATCTTTAAAAAAAAAGTTTTGTCAGATGAACCAAATCTAAATTTGAGTTCCACTGAGATAGTGGGAGGCAGGGAATCCTTCTAAAAAGGAACTGAGTAGGCTGACGTAGGTATTGGTGAAGGCATGGCGAACTTGAGGTCTGCAACCTACATCCCCAAGGTCTCCTATATCCCCCTCCTCCTCTGTCATAATACTTGGCAAACTGTATAGTACCTGCTGGCTGCAGGTTTCATTATCTGTCTTTTTGCCAGACCCCAAGCAACATGGAGTGCCCAGAGTAGATGTTTAGGAAGTATATGAATTGAATGAATGAATAAACTAACCGACTGAATAGTACAATGGTGTATTGGCACTTTAGAGAGTGCCTGCCAGGGTTGTACCCCAGTTACCAAATGATGGTCTCCCAGGATTGCCCTGGGCAGGTATATATATATATGTTTTTTTATTTTTATTTAAATTTTTATTTTTAATTTTTTAAATTTTATTTATTTGTTTGTTTGTTTATTTATTTAATGTAGCCATTTTCAGGGACCTTAATGACTTTAATGTCTTTAAGGCTCGTAACATGGCTTTACTCTTGCCAGCTCTCTAAATTTCTGCAGAAACACATTCAGGTAAGCAGACTTATTGACTGGCTTGACAGGTATATTTTTCACTCTTCATAGGTAATTCTAATGAACATACTTGCTTAAGAACACCTGATTTAGGGAAGTGATTATAAGGAGGGAGAAAGTAGTGGAAAAGACAGATTGACAGCCTAAGGAAAGGCATTTATTTTTGTGCTTTAAATTTTCTGAAGTTTTCTATCTTTTTTCCCATCTGAGACTTTGGAAAATTGGGTATCTTTGATAAAATAATATTTTATTTTTAGAAAGAGGGGAAGGGAAAGAGAAAGAGGGAGAGAAACATCAGTGTGTGGTAGCCTCTCTCATGCTCCCTACTGGGCACCTGGCCTGCAACCCAGGCATGTGCCTTGACTGGGAGTCGAACTAGTGACCCTTATGGTTTCTAGGTCGGCACTCAATCCACTGCACCACACAAGCCAGGGCAAATTTGGTATCGTGAATGTGTTTCAAGCACATGTCAGGGCCCTTCAAGGCCTGGTACCTGCAGCTGACTCTTCTACCACACATGCAACTTTTTCTGAGGCCTGCCTGCCATCTAAGTGGCCCCTTAATAAGCCTGCCATCTCTAAGTGGCCCCTTAATAAGCTGCAGAAAAAACGCCATCCCCACTCATATTTATGTAAAAATAAGTCATTCAATAAGTATTGTTTTTTAAAATAAAGCTTTTTTTTTATGTTTGAAATTGATTTGCTTTTGTTTATAAGCAGTTCTCTGTCCTGTTTCCCCAAATTGGTCATTGATGAAAGGTTTCAGCAGCCTCCATGACAATGGCAGGTGCCTGTGGTGTGGTAACCTACAGGCTGCTGATGACAGTGTTCTAGGGACTTTTTTGTTCTCCTTAGCTCCAAACCCCTTCATAGTTCGGCCTCAGAATACACTCCCTCTTTTTTTCTGCACACTCCTGCCAGGCTGAACGCTGCCTTGTCCCCACATATGACCCTTGCTCCTATGCCTTTGATCACACTATTTCCTCTTTTAGAATCATCTCCCCACCACATTCTTGGAAGTTCATCTTTAGTGCTACTTTCTCACTCTCCTCCAAATACCTCTACCCAGCCCTGATGTGATCTCTCTAAAGCTGCCTTCAAAGCCTTCTGCCTTAACAACCCTTCTCTGACATTGAGTTGCCATCAGGCCCAACTCTGAACTACCTGCTTTTATTTCTATATTAGGCAACCAAAAGAATACAGGCCAGGGATAATAATTCTAAAAAAGAAATCTGGAATGGGGAATCAAAGCATACATACAACAAAGTGTAGAAGGAAATTACAGGTTTTTTTTTTTTAAATATAAAAAGAGATTATAAAAGCTGAAGGAAGGGCAGCCTGTGTAAGCCAGTGCCTCGGTGCTGACTCCTGGGGCCCTGGAGAGGTGGAGACAGCAGCACCCGGTCATGACAGTGCACTGGCTTGGACAATGACAAAGTTGGTGGGGAGAGGGTGGTCATCTTATCGTACATAACATCGTCATTGTATAAATTTACAAGCAAGGAAGGGAGCCCCTCAAAAATCTTCAGGGCATGAGGAGTAAAGTGTCAGGGGATTGAGCAAAAAAGAAAAGAAAAAAACTCCAAAAGTAAAAATAAAAACTAACTTACAAAAAAGAAAAAAAAAACAACAGAAACCTGGCATGGCACATACCAAGTCAGAACAGACCCTGGTGGTAGCCCCAGCCTGAGACCCTCTTCGTGCCGAGCACGTGCAGTTGGATGCTGCGTCATGGGCCCAAGACCAAGGAAAGTTGGTGGCAAGGGAAAGGCTCTTGAGATGAGAGCTTATGGATCCAGTTATTCAACAGTCAACCCAGGAATATTTCAACATCTTAAAAAACAGTCTGGCCGTATGAGAGCAGACAGGCATTCCCAAGTAGAGCCCTTCTGCAGCTGGCTAGGGGATGTGAGAAATCGTGTGTAAAGGACAGCCTTGAGATCAGGGCCTTCCCTATGGACCCGTGAGCTCTGTCTCACCCTTGGGAATGCTGCCAAGGTAGCTGCCAGGGCAGGTAGCTCCTCTAGACCTGCCACGATTTAGATGATGGCCCAGGGTCTGTGCTGCTGATGCTTCCCCTCACATTCCATTGTGCGTCATTCCCACGTCAGCCTGCACTTTGGCACTACTGGTTTCCAGCTCACCAGGCAAGTGCCTGTGGGCCTGTGTGACCATTGATTTGAGCAAGTGCTTTTGTAGGATAAGCCCCGAGCTATGCTGTCAGCTATTCAAACATGAAGACACAGTCCAGGTGTGCAGTCTAGTAAGGAAGATACAAACTCGTGTCCTTTTTCACGTTCAGAAAACTGAAGCAGAAATCAAAATAGTCTGAGAAACCTGAAGAAGGTACTAGAGCTGACTCGTGTCTATAAAAGGGCAGTGTTGTCATATTACATTGGTACTGCTAAATAACAATTTTTCTTTGGGGATGGGTTTTTTCATTTCTAGCACTGCAGTAACCTCTGCCAAAGTGGCTGTGAATGGTGTCCACCTGCATTATCAGCGGACTGGAGAGGGCGAGCATGCTGTCTTGCTGCTTCCTGGAATGTTAGGTCTGGAAGGTTTTAATGGAATGCTCTTGAATGCTGTGTAATCTGTGATGCTTTCACAGTATAGTTGCCAAGTACTGATTATTAATTTTAGTGCTTTTATGGAAATGCTTAAGTAATGTTTGCTATAATTAATATTACATGATTTAGAAAGATAACTTTCTGGTATATGCATTTTTTCATTCCTTTAAATACCTGTTTTTTCCCATGCAAGTACACCATGTAGTTGGTTGCCTACTGTAGGGGATCGTTCCACGTGGTGTGGGAATGTAGCCCAGCCCCGACTCAGAAAGGCCAGTGAGGAGCAAGGCTGGCACACAGGACCCAATCCCACAGATAGGTTTTCCCAGGGGGAATCAGGCCTGCTTTGTACCTAAGCTACTATGAGACTTGCTTTTGCTAAAACTCCCTCATCCTGAATTGAGGCAGAAAATACTTACTGCATATCTTTAAAGTAACTTCCTAAAGTCTGTGCTAAACCTCCCAATTATGGAGTGTAACCAGTTCAACAATTTTTCCCCTTGATCTGTAACATCCTTCTCTTTGAAGTAATCAGCAATATTTTTTCCTTTGTTATCTGTAAAAGGTAATCACCTATAGCAAAACTGTGCATAGTATACGAGGACCATCCTCAATGTAAAGTATCCCAAAAAGCAAGAAAAACCTGCCCAGGCAGGGGTCCGGGCCCTCTCTCTCACTTAGAGAGTAGCCGTCCCTTTTTCTCCACAGGACTTCTTAGTCTGTGTGAATTTGTCTCTTGCAGCCACGACACATGGATCCTGCCAGCCAGGGTCCACATTAGCCTATTGTTTGGGAGTTGAGGAAAGGGGTGTGGGAAGAAGGGATAGATGAAGACAAAAGATGAGTGGGTGGCCAGCCATTCCAGATTGCTGGTTTTAAGGTTTTTCTTGGATGGGAGATTTTCGGCACGGAAAGATGGATTGATGGCCCTTTGTGATGGACTATGTCAAAGTAAGAGCTAAGAGCAAAATTGAGCTTAGAGACTTTTTGAAAATCAAAATTAGATTTGTGTGAATGGAGTATTGTAAAGCCAGCTGAATCTCAATCTCATTTTGCAGATAAGTAGTTTAGATGTAGAAAGTTCAGAAAGAAATTTTCCAGTGATCTCAGAACATGTCAGGTTTGGTTTGAATGGTTTTAGCATTGCATTGTTTTGTTAAATAATCCTAATTGATACTTATTTCCTTATGATGTGTTTCTTTCTCTTAAAATTTTTCAATTACTTGATGGTTTCCCTTGGTTGAGCCTCAGCTGATTATGGTACCATTTTAAGTATTGAGGCATCCTTGTCTAGATGGTACTTAGTGTCTTTTTTTTTCCTTTAAGCTATATAATGAAGGAGGATATTTAACCCAGTGGCTGATGTTGAGCCAAAGTTATCTGTAAAAGCAATGAATAATTTATCAGCTTAGATTTCTATTATTTCATATTGCAGTCATTATCCAGGTATAAAAAACTTGACAATTTCATTTTTGTTTATGTAAAACATTAACCTCTGAGGGGGTGACTTTCCTCGCAAGTCCCCCCATGTGCCACAAATGAAAGTGAACATGACCGAGACATGATGTGATCTGCTTGGGGAGAAGTGAGCAGTAGCCAGTTTCTCCGAGGAGAAAAAGGTTATGAGCTCCCTCCTCCAGGGCCTCTTATTGGGTTGTAATACACAGGAATACAGGGTGGCAAGGATCAAACAGTAGATAACATTTCAAAGAAATCTGAGGGTTTACTATGAGTCAGTCTGTCAGAAACAGAGTTTTAGGGTTTCCTGTTTGAACCCTTAACATATGAATGAAAGCACTCTTAGCAGAGCAGATTTCACAGGTTTATCAGGAAGTCTTTGTGATTCCAGATTTTTTCCCCAGGACATACTCTAGCAAGGCAAGAAGCCGCACCTCTCCCAACAGGTATTCAGGCTTAAGGGGATTAGAGCCAGGAAGCGCTTCTCCCAGAGAACATGGGGACTCGGGCTTTGTCAAAGCCGGGTGGGGGGGGGGCAAGAGTCCATTGCTCTTTGTTGCAGCCCCCCCCAGTCCTTCCCTGATGGCCTCCCAAGTGATCATGTTTGGCTTATGTTGCCCCCCGCTGTAAGGGGTCTTACCCGTCATTGACTTCCGACAAAGCTTTGGGGACAGGGAGAGGAAACTGAGGCAGCATTTGCTACCAGACAAGCTTTGTCTCCTTGTGGCTCACATTCCAGAGGTCATCCCTCACCCTTAGCCACAAGGGGTTGAGATACAATTCCTAGAACCAGGCAGAGTGGTCTACAACAAACCTCACTCAAAAATCAAAAAGTCAGACAATGAGATTGCCCTTCCAATCCCCTGTCCCCATCACCCAGTTCCACATGTAACCAATGTTGATGTGTTTCCTTCTCAAATGTCATATACTGGCAACTGTTCCTTAGAATAAATTTTTTAAAGTTTTAGTATTGTTTGCACTGAAGTCTTCAAATGTTTGTCTGTGTGCCCGAAAGCGGGTATCGTTATTTCTGAAATTGGTCTTGAGATTGCTGTTCCCTTTTCCTGCCTCCTCAGCTCCTGCCCCTCTGTGGCAGTCCTATGGACAAGTCCCTTCAGGAGCCATGAGAGCAGTAGGCATGAGCTTGAGATCCATTTATGTTTTTAGCTTAGGTTTCTGAATGATTTACCTGAGGTTGAGAAAGGCATATCTTGTCAGAACAGATAACGTCAAATGATACCATACCATTTTGAAAGACATTTTCTAATAATAGCTAGTTTATCAAGCAAGACGTTTAGTGTCTCTTTGTGGTCTGAGTTATGAGTCCTCAAAAACCAAGCAGACCATAAAAATAAAGTGCTGATTTGCCCCTGGACTGAGCTCTTTAAGGAACTGGCCTTGCACACTGCTATGAGTGGGTGTGAGCACAACACATGAGAGAGCTCGACCTGTGTGTGCCCATAGTGGCCATGACTAGTGTGGCAGGCTGGGAACTGCTGATACAGGGTACAGCCAAGGGGGGGTGGGGCAAGAAGGATTTGGAGTGGTGTCCAGAATTCAAAGTGTATAGGAATATTGGAGAGACATATAGGATGTCCTCACCCTCCCCCCCCAGGAGGAGGGGACCAGTAGAGCAGGGCCATTGAGAGCTGTTTTGCATAGCAAGTTTTGCAGCTAACCTCTGGAATGATTATTTAACATATCTATAACCTTTAACTGGTTTCATAGATATGTTAAATAGCTGTGGCCAAGTTTTGAGCCAGGGAGAAGGGAGTGACTTCTACCCAGGATGTAACTAGGGGCTGCGCCCCTGAGTGAGAGTGCCTGTGTGGGAGCTCGTAAAAGATGGGCTCCAGGACATGAGGGGATAACTGCCCAGTTGAGGAGAGGGCCACTCGGTTTGGGGCAGAGTGAGGACCCCTGCAGTCATGTAGGAGAGAGCCACGCGGTTTCAGCAGAGTGAGGACCCCCTCTTGGTGAGGTGAAAGAGGGAGCCACGTGGTTTTGGCAGAGTGCGGACCCCCTCTTCCCAGTTGAAAGGGAAAACCACGCAGCTTTGCCAGAATGGAGATCCCTGCAGCCAGGTGAAGAAGAAAGCCACATGCTTTTGGTGGAGTGAGAACCCCTGCAGCTTTGGTAGAAGAGGCCCACGCACCTTTAGAGTGCCCCCTTTGGCCGAGTGGCCTGGAAAGCAGGAGAGACTTTGACTGGAACTGGGTACAAAGGACTCTTGCCAGTGGACCATGAGAGGGTACCACAGTACTTTGGATTAACTAGAGAGATCCTGCCTGCACAGTGACACAGCTGACGATACCAGCAGCCTGAACACAGATGTGTGCTCTTTTCCTGATTTACGGTACCTGGAGTTGGGACAGTGGGGGAAGGGAGCGCTGTGGGTGTAGGTGTATACCCTAAAGGACTTTAATGTTTTAGTGGAGGCATTAAGCCTAAATAGCATTAAATAAACATTTTGTTTCCTTTTCACAAATCTCTGGCATTGGGAGATGTCTTTCCAATTGGCAGCGGACAGAAGAGCCCAGTAGATATTAGTATTCCATCCTTGGGAGGGGCCCCTGTTGTTCTGTAGCAGTTTTTGGCGTCCCTGGGTGGGCCAGATATTGCCCGCCCCCCTTGGACCTCTTGTTCGGTAACACTGCCAGTCAAGTCTGCCACTGACTTGTTAATACATGCTGTTCTGTAATTTTTTAATGAAATAAACTCATTTGTTTCTTTCACACTCTGCCCTCCCCAGTCATTTCGGTGTTTAACTTTCTAGTTGCTAGTTATAACCACCCAAAAGTCTTCTGGGCTGTTCACATTAGCTTAGTAAAAAAACATCTGGGGTTTTAGAATTCTACTTTAAAAACTTGGATCAAACCTCATAAACTGTTCTACAGGTACTGGAATCTCCCTTACTTGTAACAGTCACTTAAAAAAAGAAAAGCAAAAAATAACCCAGAAGCATATCATCAGTAAGCTTAATTCTGTGCAGTTTCATTTATTTTTTTAAAGGAAGATGAGGCTGAAGAGGTACCAAATTGCTGGACTTTAATAATCCCTGACCAGGGTGTTCGTCTTTATCAAAGTGGCCACCAGGAGGCCATAAGAAGCAGGTCTGAGCTCCCAGGGAAAAGGAAGTCAACCTCCCTACTAAATGAATTCCATCGTTGCAAGGCTCCTGTGCTGATTATAATTGGATGTCTGGCTTTGAGTAGAAACTTTTTGCTTTGTTTTAAGATTGCAGTTATTTATTTTTTACAGTAATGCGTTTGAAACAAGGAAAGCATTCCCTTGAATTAACCAAGTCGCTGTTTTCAGGAAGTGGAGAGACTGATTTTGGACCTCAGATTAAAAACCTAAATAAGAAGCTCTTCACGGTGGTTGCCTGGGACCCTCGAGGATATGGACATTCCAGGCCCCCAGATCGGGATTTCCCAGGGGACTTTTTTGAAAGGGATGCAAAAGATGCTGTTGATTTGATGAAGGTGGGCCTCTGAGGGAAGAACCCAAGGGAGGGAGGATGGCTGGGCCTGTCTTCATTTATTTTGTTTTTGGTTTTTATTTCTACAGGGGTGATACCATGCAATTCCTACAGAAAATTTAAAAAATTCAAATACATATAAAGAAGAAAGTAGAAATATCCCACAATCCATCTATGTAGAGACACTACCACCAAGACTGGCCAATCTTATTACATATGTAAATACACATGTTTATATTGATGGCGTGATACTGTACCTAATTTTTTTGCACCTTACTATGTTATTGAACAGTTTGTCAAAGAGATACTTCCCTATCAATAAATATTAGTTTATATCAGTATTATAATAGATGCATAGTATTTCACTGTATGGACATACTGTGTCTCATTTTGCCTCTCTTCTAATGGTAGATAAATAACTCAATTTCTTCATCCTCACCAGAGGATACATTTATTGATTTTAAAGAGAAAGAGAAACATCAGTGTGAGAGAGAAACATCGATCAATTGTCCCCTGCACATGCCCAGAGGGGCTGAACCCACAATCTTTTGATATATAAGACAAATCTCCAACCAACTGATCCACCTGCCAGGGCAATAACTTAATTTTTAAGTTGCCCCTTTTTGGTGATTATGAACAGCAGGGGCAGTGAATATTCTGTTGCCCATCGACATTTTAGTTCTCATTTTTTTGCTATTATAACAATACTTCTTCAGGCATCCTGGACCTGTGTCCTGGTGCACATGTGTAAGAGTTCCATACATATTTAGGAGACGGCTTGCAGGTTTATAGAAGACACACAGCTTCATTTTACAATATAGTGCCAAGTTGTTATCCATAGTAGTCATCCCAATTCTTGAACTTGATTTTTCCCAATTAATTAATTTTTACCTCTAGACAGAATCTTTCAGATGTGATCTTTTTTTTATTGTCCCTGTGCAACACATTTTCAGAGCCTGGTTGACTCCCCCCAGGACCAGCATAACCTCCCCACGACACCATTCTCTTCCAGAGAGAAGTGGCCTCCAGCCACTTCTTCGCAGTCTTTCAGTCAGTCACTTTCCCAGATGCAGTGACTTCATTTCTTCCAGTCTTCCTTTCTAATCTACGCAGCTGTTCTTAGAGTCTTTGCTCAAGTGTGCATGCGTATGCTCTTGTCATTTGTCATGTCCAAGTGCTGATCTCCATCAGTTCTGGTTCCTTGAGATTTTATCCAAGGAATGAAGTGGTTCCTTTAGAAATTGAAACAATTATATTTACACTAAATTAGTTGAGAGAAAACATTTTTGTCTTCAAATGGTGAACTTTAGGATTTTTCGTTAATTGCCAACTGATACTCCAAACCCCACAGCGGTATTGATTCTGTTAATTATTGATTATTGGGTTCTTTTAACAGAGGAGCAATAACCTGTGCTGTGCCTTTTATCGTATTTCTCATAGGCACTGAAGTTTAAGAAGTTCTCTTTGCTGGGGTGGAGTGACGGTGGCATCACAGCACTCATTGCAGCCGCAAAACACCCGGCTGACATCCACAAGATGGTGGTTTGGGGAGCCAACGCTTATGTGACTGAGGAAGATGAAAGGATTTATCAAGGTAGGTTTCATGAACTAGAGATGTTATGACAAGTAACATCTTCCTTTTCCCTCTCTCCTTTAATTCTTTTTAAAAAAGATTTTATCTCTCTGTTGTTAGAGGGAGGAGGAAGGGAAGAAGAAAAAAAGAAAACTTGATGTGGGAGAGAAATATCAGTCAGTGGCTTCTCACACATGCCCTGACTAGGGACTGAACCTGCAACCCAGGCATGAACCCTGACCAGAATCAAACCAGTAACCTCTCACTTTTGCGGAGACAACACCCAACCAACTGAGCCACACTGGTCAGGGCTCCTCTTTAATTCTCATTTTGATATGTAGTTACAAGCCACCTTACCCTCTTCTACTTGTCAGTCTAAAGGTAGGAAGAATAATTTCTCAGAAAAGTAATGCAGTTTAACCAGTCTGTGTTTAAGAGCTTTCTCTTTCCAAAAGCGATACTTTCATGACTCAGAAAAGGTCTAAATTAGTATTTACATTTTCTGCTGCTGATAGTGAACCTCAAGGAAGGAGGGGTTTGATGTGCACTGTTATTTATATGACCTCATTTAAAATAATGTGAGTGTAAAAGGGAACATTGTATTCAAATATGAAACCTAATACATATTTTTAAAGATTTTTATTTATTTATTTTTAAAGAGGGGAAGGGAGGGAGAAAGAGAGGGAGAGAAACATCAATCTGTGGTTGCCTCTCGCACATCCCCATCTAGGGACCGGGCCTGCAACCCAGGCATGCGCCCTAGACTGGGAATCCAGCCAGCGGCTGCTTGATTCACAGGCTGGCACTTAGTCCACTGAGCCACACCAGCCAGGGCTGAAACCTTTTATTCTGATGAAGAATTTTTGTACTATTCACATTTTTTAAGGTTGTCCTTCAGGCCAATTTTTAAGGTTTTTTAAAGACACAGGAACAGGGGCCTATGGACTAAATCCAGCTCACCATCTGTTTTTGTAAGACCTAAGCACCCATCTAAGGAGGCTCGCACAGTGACTCCTGGAGATCAGTATTGGGAGTCCCTCTTCATCTGCCTTTCTTCCTCCACTCCCAGTGTTGTTGACAGGACCTGTACCGGTGGCCACCTACACGTTGGCAACTGTTAGTTATAACCAGGCAGCCATCCATGGAATTTTATTTGGCAATTCCGGAGTTGCTCAGACTCCCGCAGGCTGCCCACATTGAGACTCCTGGACCCTCGAGAGGAGAGGAAGGTGAATCGGGATCTGGGGGTCCCTGGGACACAAAGTGAAATTGACCTGGGCTACCCTAACACCACCGCATGTCAGCCTGGCTCACCAGGACCCTTCTCTTCAGGCCAATAGCTTTTTGTCCTGAGTATGTTTCTGTTGGTTCCCACATGGCCTGTTCCAGACAGTTAGGCCAAGGTAAATCAGAAGTTTCTCTCCTTTATCTATATACTGTTTTTGTTTTTGCCTCTTGGCCTACAAAGCCTAAAATATGTACTCTCTGGTCATTTACGGAAATAGTTTGCAGCCCTGTGCACTAGAATACCACAAGTCTCGTCTTTTTCAGCTATTCGGCAATTCATATGACTTAAGTTATTTAATGGCAAAGTTTTATTGTAGAGTCTTAGTTCTTGACAGTCCTTGTCTTTGGTAAAGAACTATGAAACTCTTAAATGATAAGTCTGACTTAGTTACCAGTCCTAGTCAGTACTCCTGCCTGTCCTTATTGCAGCCCCACCTGGTTCTGAGGAGAGTGTCTGTCTTATGCAAAGTAAGCTGTCCCACTTTGTAGCTGGTCCTTTCCCTCCCACTGCCTCTAGAACATGGTGCCTCTGGTCCTCTCTACCTCTCCTGTATCATTGACTTCTCTCGCTGGATCTTCCTCTCAGCCTATAAAGGTGGGCATGGCTCCTCCTCCAGAAGGTTATCTGTCTTACCTATAGTTACTACTGTACCATTCTTTGTCCTTTCCCACAATGGACTGAAAGAGTAGTCTACTCTCTCTGCCTCTACACATTCTCATCTCATTCCTTCTCCAGTGCATTCTGGCCTTTCTCCCATTGTGGCCCATACTGAAATTGTTCTCACCGAGATAAGGATGATCTTCTTGTTGTCAAAGCCAGTAGGTTCTTTCAGAGTTGTTTGTAGTATTCCCTTGTTGCTCTTGTTTTTCCTTTATAACTCTTCAGAAGTTTGTAAGGGGTATAGTGATATCCTTCTATTGTTCCCTGAAACTGATCATTTATATCATCTGTCTTTTTTTTTATGTTAATCGCTTTTTTAAAAATTTTTATTGATTATGCTGTTACAGTTGTTCTATTCCCCCCTTTCCTTCCCCTCCACCCTACCCCCCGTCCCTACCATTACCCCCCCTTTAGTTTATGACCATGTGTCTCAAGTCCTTTAGATTCTATATTTCCCATGCTATTCTTGCCCCCCCTTCTATTTTCTATCTACTATCTATGCTACTTATTTTCTGTACCTTCTCCTCCTCCCACTCCCCTGTTGCTAACCCTCCTTGAGATCTTCATTTCTATGTTTCCACTTCTGATCTAGCTGTCCTTTTAGTTTGCTTTCGTTTTAGGTGTGGTTGTTAATAACTGTGAGTTTGTTGTCCTTTCACTGTTCATGTTTCTTTAACTTCTTTTTCTTAGATAAGTCCCTTTAACATTTCATATAATAAGAGCTTGGTGGTGATGAACTCCTTGAATTTGATCTTATCTGAGAAGCACTTTATCTGTCCTTCCATTCTAAATGAAAGTTTTGCTGGATAGAGCAATCTTGGTTGTAGGTCTTTGGATTTCATGACTTGGAATACCTCTTTCCAGCCCCTTCTTGCCTGTAAGGTCTCTTTTGAGAAATCAGCTGACAGTCTGATGGGAACCCCTTTGTAGGTGACTGTCCCCTTAGCTCTTGCTGCTTCTAGGATTCTCTCCTTCATTTTAATCTTGGCTAATGTAATTACGATGTGCCTTGGTGTGTTCCTTCTTGGGTCCAACTTCTTTGGGACTCTCTGAGCTTCCTGGAGTTCCTGGAAGTCTATTTCCTTTGCCAGATTGGGGAAATTCTCCTTTATTATTTGTTCAAATAAGTTTTCCACTGGTGGCTGTGCCTTTCCCCCTTCTGGTACTCCTATAATTCGGATGTCGGAGCGTTTAAAGATGTCCTGGAGGTTCCTAAGACTCTCCTCATTTCTCTGAATTCTTGCTTCTTGACTCTTTTCTGTTTGGCCATTATTTGCTTTCTTCTGGTCCACTCCATTGATTTGAGTCCCAGTTTCCTTTTCATTGCTATTGGTGTCCTGTGCAATTCCATTCATTTCAATTAGTTTCACCTTCATATATTTGTCTAATTTGTGGCTATAATCAGCCAGTTCTGTGAGGATCCTGATCACCAGTGTTTTAAACTGTGCGTCTGAGAGTTTTGCTATTTCTTCATCGCTTAGATCTATGGGCTCTGGGGCTTTGAGATCTTCTTGCGCCATTTTTGGTCTGTTTGCGCCTTGGACTCCCAGGTCGCTGGGTTGTGATGCTACGCTGTATGTGGGGGCGTGGTCAGAGCGGGGAAATGGAGACCCCCTCTGCTGTTTCTCACAGCTGGGTAAGGAGCAGTGCCTTAGGTGGTTCACCTGGGCTGGGCCACTCAGAGTCGCTGGGTTATGACGCTGTATGTGGAGGTGGGGTCAGAGCAGGGAAATGGCGGCGCCCTCCACTGCCGCTTGCCACGGGGACCCGCCCAGCCCCGGTCCAACTGCCCACTCCCTCGCCTGTCCGCCTGCGCACCAATGCGCGACCATAGTCAACACGCAGCCCCGCTGCCCCGCTGTCTCCCCGCGGTCGCTCGCCTGGTCGCTCGCTCGCCTGGTCGCTCGCTCGGTCACTCACTAGGTCCAACCCTGCACCTGGATTCCGCGCCTGAGTCCGTCTGACCGAGTCCTCCTGTGCAACCCCGCTTCACCAGCCACTGGTTTTGCCCCTTACCGGTCAGGCTGAAGAATTTGTTGTTAACGGACTTCTGAAAAGTTCAATTTTCCGTGTTCTGGCTGTGTTTTCTGTTGCCAATATTTAGTTGTCTCTAAACTTGGTTGTGTGAGAAGGCACGGCACATCCACCTTTGCCTCCATCTTGGCAGAAGTCTGTATCATCTGTCTTTTTAACCTGACTTTTTAACTAGAGGATTCAACTTCATTGATTTTTTCTTATTTTAAAGTATATTTTATTGATTATGCTACTATAGTTATCCCATTTTTTCTCCCCTTTATCCCTGTCTGCCTTGTACCACCCCTCCCAGCAGCTTTCCCCCCACTTAGTTCATGTCCATGAGTCATACATAGAAGTTTTTTGGCTTCTGCATTTCCTATACTGTCCTTTACCTCCCCTTGTCTATTTTATGCCTACCAATTATATTTCTTATTCCCTGTACCTTTTCACCCCATTTTCTCCCCACTGATAACCATCCATGTGGTCTCCATTTCTTTGATTCTGTTCCTGTTCTATTTGTTTGCTTAGATTTTGTTTTTTTAGGTTCAGTTGTTGATAGTTGTGTTTATTGTCATTTTTACTGTTCATAGTTTTTGATCTTCTTTTTCTTACCTAAGTCTCTTTAATATTTCATATAATTAGGGCTTGGTGATGGTGAACTCCTTTAACTTGATCTTATCTGGGAAGCACTTTATCTGCCCTTCCATTCTAAATGATAGCTTTGCTGGATAGAGCAATCTTGGTTGTAGGTCCTTGTCTTTCATGACTTTGAATACTTTCTTCCAGCCCCTCTTGCCTACAAGGTTTCTTTGGAGAAATCAGCTGATAGCCTTATGGGCACTCCTTTGTAGGTAACTCTCTCTTTTCCTCTTGCTGCTTTTAAGATTCTCTCCTTATATTTCATCTTGGGTAATGTAATTGTGATGTGCCTTGGTGTGTTTCTTCTTGGATCCAATTTCTTAGGACCTCTTACTTAAAAATCCTTCAAGGCCTCCCATGACTTTCTGGATAAGTAAGTCAAACTTCTCAGCTTTGCTCGCAGAGTTTGAGTGACCCA